GCTGGGGAAGGGCCTTTAAACCCCTGCCAGTCCCACCCCTGCATGGGCAGGGACACCTCCTGCCAGCCCAGGCTGCTCCAAGCCCCATCCAGCCTGGCCTGGAACACTTCCAGGGATGTGGTTGTGTGTGTTTGTGCAGCATTCAGGGAACAGTCATTTCACCTGTGGGGCTTGATGGAGCTCAGGAGGATGCTTCAGGGAGAGTTTCAGAGAGCATGCAGAGTGTGGCCATCATTTTTGTAAAGGATAATGAGTTATAAACAGGATGGAGAAGACACTCATGGCAATATGAGTAGGAAAAATCCAGAAATGAGGTACCCAGTGGGAAGGAACATGGGGGATGGATGGATGTGAAGAACTGAACAAATTCCTTAAAGTGAGCAGAGACAATAGTCATGGGTCAGTGTGTTTTGTTGCTGTGATGGAGTTTGGATCATTTTGTGCTTTAATGTATTGAACAGAAAACAAGCAGCTCCCCTCCCTGTCTGGGTGTGGTACCATTTCATTTGGGGTAGCCAATATTTTGAAAAGCAGCAACAAACAACAAGGTCTTTAAATTGCTTCAGCTTTGCAGGCAACTGATGCACCTGCAGCAGGTCACACTGTCCAGGGTTTGTTAACTCTGACATTTTGTGCATGAACTAATTCCTGTGTCCACAAGTCAAACCCTTAACTGAAAAATGTCTGTGTCAGGGTGGCATCTGGAGACCTTGGCTGGGCTGGGGAATCCACTGAGCTGGGCAAAGTGCAGGAGCAAGAGACCTTGAGATTGGACAGGAAGAACCTGCCCAGGGCTCAGCTGAGCTGTGTTGATGTGTTGCTGAGGGAGCAGCTGGAGGAGACTCCAGTGACTCCCCCTTCCCAGGGGAAAATGCTGGGTTAGTGAAGAGGTTGCAAAGGTTGTGCTGCTAATGTGGCTGGTGCTCAGTTCAGATGGCACCTGAAGCCTCATCATGTGCTGTGTCCACCTCTGGGGTCCCCAGCACAGGAAGGACATGGAGCT